CAAGCATATATTGCGGAGCAGAATGTCTGACCTCACAAGCCAGAAGTAAGAGAATGAGGAAGAGTCAGGACCTCATACCCCACTGTGAGTATGTCCCCAATGACCAAAGATGCCCCACTAGGCCACCTCTAGGTCCCACATACCTTCAAGTGTGCATTCTCCAAGTTTTCAACATGAGGGACTCATAGGATAGCCAGTACTAAGCTCAGTATTTTGTCCACAGACTTGCTCCAAGCACAGGTTGAGAGAACTAACACAGATCCCCCAGAGAAGGAAAATCACCCCATTAGAGACATGTTCAGGAAATTGGACTTGTTCTAAAAAGTAATGCCATTACAGTAGTTAATGCAGAGCAAATACTGAGTCCACTACACATTTTTAAATTATTACCTTGTTGGCGGAGTGGAAAATGTGCTAAAGGAAAATGTGTAAGAGGAAATAGGGAGTGCTTAGAGACACCTCTTCTGTGTGGGACTTAGTAAATCAATGACTAATTAAGGAAAATAGGACTGGAAGGAAGAGGCACCGAAGGATGACTTCTGGAATTTTAACCTGACAAACCGGGATCTGTGGTTTCAGCACTTACTGAGAAGAGCAGATTTAGAGGTGGGAATATCATTTTGCTCAGTAGTCATGCTCATTCAGGTTAAAGCATTAGTTGTTAAGTATTAATGTCTAGCATATTTAATATCAACACATAACACTGAATAATTAGTCAGAAACTTAAGTCTGAGCTCAGAGAGAAATTAAGACTTTGAATGTAGTGTAGGTAATTATCAATCCAGGAAGTTGCTGAGGTGGGTGAAGAGAGCACAGGAATGAGAGGATCAGCAGGTTTCTGAGGGCAGGTTCTTGAAGAGACGTAATATGCTTAAGGGTTACAAAGAGGAAGGAGATCCTGTGAACACAGAGGAGAAAGAAGGTCAACGAAGTATTAGAAAGAGGGAAGGAAAGAATCCTAAAACAATGCAGAATCAGAAAGAGGGAAGGGAACAATCCTAACACAGTCTAACAGCACTGCCGAGAACAGCCACAGCAAGAACTGAAAAGGGCCCATTACATTTGGAGGTAGAATATTTAGGCACTTGTCTCCCTCGTCACACCAATATTCAGTTGAACACATGGATCAGAAGATTGATGGCTGTTGGCTGAGCCACGACACATGAAAGGATAGAGGCAGCTAATGCTGTCTACACTTTCAATAAATATGAATGAGAAAAGGAGTGAGAGAAAAGTTAAAGATTCAGGGCTGTAACCTATGAAGGAAGGAGGCCTTGAGCAATGCGGCAAACTCTCATGTGTTCTACCCAACAGTCAGTACCCTCTCCAACTACCTTCCCCCATCCACTGTTATACAAACCTGTTTAAAATTGCTCTGAGTACCTGGCAGTGGTGGCACACGCCTTTTATCCCAGCACTCAGTAAGCAAAGACAGGAGGATCTCTGAGTTCAAGGCCAGCCTGGTCTGCACAGTGAGTTCCAGGGGGAAAAAAAGAAATCACTGTGAGCCCAGGACTAGGGCAGGAGTTATGGCTGGACCAAAATCATCTTCCTCCAGTCCATCAGAAAGCTCCACTTTGCTATCTCTAGGTTTCGTGATCATCTATGATAATCTATTGTTATTCAGAAACTCTCAATGTCCCCTCCACCCCAAGGGAAGATTGCAGAATTCTGCTCCTCTTCCTCCAGTCCATCAGAAAGCTCCACTTTGCTATCTCTGGGTTTCGTGATCATCAATGATAATCTATTGTTATTCAGCAACTCTCAATGTCCCCTCCACCCCAAGGGAAGATTGCAGAATTCTGCTCCCCTGAAGTTGAGCATGGTCCCTATTACTTGTCCCATCTACCAAAATGGAAGTAGGCATGATGCCAACCTGTTTCAGCATACTTAACCTGCTCTCACTTATGTGTTGCCACCTGCCACACTGGTGGAGAAAGCACACAACTAGAGAACCACTGTCATCAGATCCAAAGCCTTGACAAAGCATAAGTAAGCCCAGAGCTTCCCCCTGCCCAGGACCTGCGGACCCAAGGAAGGAAAATATATGTTGGTGTAACTTCCTGAGATCTGAAAGTTGCCTGTTCATGCAATGTTACCATAGCAACAAATAACTAGTGAAAACGTGAGCTCCCTCTTAGCAAAACTAGTCTCAAATACTTGGCAGCAAACTATGGCCTAACAGGATTTACCAATGCTAACAATTTGTGTTTTCACAGTATTTAGTTTCATTTGTTTGTGGCACTTAAAACTTGTTTTAAAGCTGGAGTTGAGATAGAAGGTTTTATGTTGGATTAACATTACTTTCATTTTTAAAAATGTTAAGGGCTTTCAGAAATAGTCAGTGCTAGAGCACCCACCCACACATATAACCCCCCAACCATGTACCAAGCCCTGCTTCCCATCTGTAGCACTGGAAAAGAAAATAAAAACAATGTAAAACATTCACACCAAGAAGTAAAACAAAGGTGAGCCATCTGAGCCAAAGTTTGAGAAATATTGGAGTCAAAATACATCAAGGCAATTGATCATGGAAAGAGGAAGCCAAAAAGTCCCATATGGGCAGGGCATACAGTGTCACCTTACCTAAAAGGAAGCAGACAGGGCCCTCTGGGAAAGTCACTCACTTTCAGAGCTGAAGGTAATGTGTCCCGCTTCCAGTTCTTTTACCAAGAAGAATACGCTGCCAGCAATCAGGTCCTCAGTTTCCTCATCTACGAAAAGCGAGTGATACAGTCCTGTGTGGGTTCAGGTAAGCAAGAGAGAGAGAGATAATGTGTGAGAGATGCATGTGCAGGAGCAAGGCAAGGAAAAGCATGGAATCCCTTACCCATCCAAGGGTAGTCAGGCCCGGCACGGCCAATAGGTTGCACGCACCGTGGTCAGATTGACTGTCTGTTTCATTTTGGCTTCCTTTGTTCATCCAGCTACAAGAGACTGTCTGCTGCAAACGGGGAGCAGGAGGGGAAGACATGAGAGCTGTGGGCAGGAGAAAGTTTTGCAGACACTAAGATCTGGCCTTTTATTGGAATTGGTCTTTTTGTTCACATCATACCAACTCTTTCCATGTTACAACTCCATTCAAGAGCTGGGTGCTGACAAAGGAATGTCCTAAAATAAGACAAGTGGGGCCCTCTGGTCTGTAAGCTGGGCAAAGAAGGGCCTAACTCACTGTTGACTTGACAGGTTCAGATCGTCCAGCAAGCTGAGCAGTGAAACTGATGTTAAGAGTGTGATACCTAAAATCTGTATCTTGGGAAAACTTCCAGAGGGCAATGCACATATATACCATACAGAAGAATGTTCCAGATGCTACCATAGTATTTTAAGCCGTTACCAGTCGTCAGATCCCTCTACATAACACTAATATGTCAACATTCAGTGCCTCTTTCTGACAGTGTCAACAGGGAGGTGAATCTGGAAGGGTCCAGTTGGTGGGAGGCAGAGTTGGTCTTCTTCCTCCTTCGTGGGACATACTACCCATGAGCTCCCTGCTGCAGCTCCCTCTGGCCTTCAAGAGAGTTCATTCTTTCTTTATTCCCTGGCAACCTGGGTGGAACAGGGACCCAGGAAACCCCTTGCACTGACAAGCTAGTTCTGTGCCAACCTGGGATTAGTGATAGTAAATAGCATGAAAGCAGAATTTTCTAGAACGTGTCTAGTTTACATAGGCCTGCTTATTTCCAAGTTCTCCGTTTCTTCCTTCATCAGATTTCATTTATCCAAGGCAGGAATGTGTCCAGGTGGCCAGCCTTACCAATGTTGCCAGAATCTCAGGTTGAAGCCAGACAGACCAGAGAAAGGAAAGAGGGGCTCAAAAGCATTGGTTAACAGCTAGTCTGACCACCAGGAGGCGCTCAAGTCCTAGCTTTCATTTATTCAGCTGTCAACTAGTGTGGGTTTGGGTCCTGGATAGTGTTCTGTGCTTTGATAGTACAGTGCAACAAATAAGGCTGGTGGTATGGCTCAGCCAGTAAGCCTGATAGCAGTCCCCAGAATCCACATTAAAGATGTCTGGGGTGCACATCTGTAATCCCAGCACATCTGTTACAAAATGGGAAAGAGAGTCAGGAGGATAGCCCTGAAGCTCACCAGCCTGCTAGCCTAGAGTACACTGTTTGGCACAAACAAGAAAGTCTCTGCCTGAACAAGGTGGAAAGCAAGAACCCAGCCTGGAGAGGCGTCCTCTGATGCCCACACTCACAAGCACATAGTGGCACGCACCTGAACATGGGATGGTGGGGAGAGAGTACACTAATAATAATCCAAAATTTTATATAAAGTTTCTTTTCCCCATGTAATTTAAACTGTAGACATTAGAGGTGCCAGGAGTAACAGACAATAGGAAAATAAGGAAGAATTAACAAACACTGGCAATTTCCTGTGTTTCAAGCAATGACATGGGGAATATTTATAACAGTGGCTCCTAGTTTCCCATCTTAAGCTGGTTTCATGTATTTTTGGCAGGTTTCTTGTTTCTGACACTCAAAACAAATTCTACCACTATTCTTACCCTTTGAGGGGGTTCTCTGAGGAGGCAACTGATGCTAAGATAGGTCACTGAGAAACACAGAAATGGACTCCATTCCCTGTTTATATTGGCCAACAGAAAAGAGGGATTCTTTTATTCAGTATGAATGCTGTCTTAACCAAGAAGAGAAATCTGAACACAGATATAGGCAGACACAAGGAAACATCATGTGGAAATAAAGATGGCCATCCATCAGCTAATGGGGGGGAGGGCTGGGACTAAGCCTGGCCTCACAGCCTCAGAAGGAACCACCCAAGCCAATACTGATGGATATGGCTAAACTTCAGAGCTGTGAGACAATACATCCTGAAGTCAAGGTCTCATAGCCTATGTCTTTTTGTTATAGCCCGGCTAGCTCAGTCAGTAGAACATGAGACTCTTAATCTCAGGGTTGTAGGTTCATTCCCCCACATTGGGTGCCAAATGTAAACAGAGTTTTTTTTCTTTTTATTATTATTATTATTAATAATAATAATAATTCAAGTTAGGGAACAGGCTTGTTTCACATGTAATTCCCCTCTCCCTCTCCCAGTTCTTAATTGATCTAGATAATTAAAAAGCCGGAGTCAGATATAGAGGGAAATGCTGAGAGTCCCTCTCCCTCTCCCAGTTCTTAATTGGTCTAGATAATTAAAAAGCCGGAGTCAGATATAGAGGGAAATGCTGAGAGGTCAGAGAGAAGGAGCAAGCCACAGCACACCTCACCTCCTTAGCATCTCAGCAAACAAGATAGTGATTTCCTCTTTCTCCTTGCTTATAACCTGTTTCTGCCCAGATACCTCACTTCCTGTCGGTCTGTACAGACCTCCAGACCTCTATGGTTAGCTAGT